AGGAAGAGGAAGAGGAAGGAGGGAGAGCCTTGAGGAGGGCAGCTCGGTTGGTTGGAAACAGGAAGGGGGGAAGAGGAGGGAAGAAAGCGATGGAGGCAATGGATCATTTCTCTTCCGAAGACGAGAGCTAAGGTGAGGGATTGAACTTGGGCATAAGTGGCCGCAGAGTCACATGCGTGGAAGGGACAGAGAGGAAGGGAGAAGGTGCACGAAGCAAAGGCGCGTGGCGGGGCTTGTGGCACTTGAAATGGATGTACAGGCGAAAGAGTTCAGAATCCAGGGTGTCTCAGTAATGTTGTAATGTTTTCATGATGCTCGTGATTCTTGCAATCTGCCATTATCTTCAGGACCCTGCATGCTGCCACCTGTGCCCCATCTGTTTTTCTCCCATCCCATCACGAATGACGCGCTTCATTTCTCTTCCCTTGCATTCTTCGTCACGGCTCTCTCATAATCACCATTTCGTCCATCGCCATACCTCTTTTGTCTCCTTCCTCATTCTCATAACCCAATTGATCGCTCTTCACTTGGTCTTATTCCGGAGGCTTCAGACCGGTTGTCACCTTCATGAGACATCTTGCTGTACAATTTTGCACCTCTTCGCCTATGGAGGGTAGGTTTGAGGTTGTCCTCTCAAAACCAATAGGGGTCCTCTCGCATGGTAGTGATTCAGGTCCTGTCTTGTATACACTCACTCACTTTAAAGGTCACGTGTGCGAATTTCTCCACCATCTATAAGCATGATAACCCTGTGGGAAGCTGCTGACTTCAGTATCCCGAATTGCTTGTCGGGATTTCAATCCGTCACCCTACCGGCTCAATGCCCTCCATCGGCTCTCCAGATCCTTCCTCTCGCCTCCCCTTCAGTCCGTACATAGCGCGCACCTCCCGCACATAATTCCTCAACTGCCTTATTCTGACTTCATGTGCGACGTAGCGATCGTTTCTGAGTAGCCGGGTTTGCACATCCACTGCATCCTTTAGCGCATCTACCCACAATGCCGACACTTTGTCAGACCCTGCTGTGGCCTCTTTCAATTTCAAATTTATATTGCGACGCATGTCATCGAAATTGTCTGCTCCTTGCTCCCTTCCCGAGGCATCCTCTTTATCTGTTCCGTGAGGTATTCGATCTTGCTGCTGTTCCTGCTGCTGTTTGTGGTGATCCCTGTTCTTTTCTTGTTGTCCTTCTTCATGTTCTTGTACTTGGCGTTCTTGCTGAATTTGTCGCTTCAGCTGTTGTGATTGTTCACCTCGTGGACTTTTTTTGTGTCCGAGAGGCTGATGTGGCTGCTGCTGATGTGCTAAAGGACCCTTCTGCGTCCGCTGTGGCTCTTCTAGCTGAGGCTGCTCTATAAACGGTGCAGGCTGCTGATGGGAAAGCGTCTGATTACAGTCCTGACTGTGCTGCTGAGTGCAGACTTGTTTTTGTCTCTTAAGTGGATAACTCTCTTCCTGCTGCTCCTGCTGACATTCTTGCTGGCGAGTATTTTGTGATTGCTGGTGATGTGAATCAAGAGGGTCCTGGTTTAGCTGCTGCTTATGAGGCGTCGAATGATCGTAGTTTTGCGTTGGACGTTGACACGCAGGTTGTTCAGGTTCACCTCTGTCTTCACCAATTGCTTGCTGGTATTGTTGCTCCTGGCACAGTTGAGGTTCTGGTTTCTGCATTTGGGGTTCGCTCTGCCGCTGAGGAAATGGTGAGGTTGACTGCCGTGTGACTTTTCCTCGTAAGCATCCTGAGAGCTCGCCACCTTGCTTCTCCGTATCGTTGGGAAGGTCAATCTCTAGACGAGACGAAGCAGCATCACCTGCGATTTTCATCACACCTTCATTTCTTTCATTGACTTGTATTGAATCTTTGCAGCTCTCGGATTTCACCACTTCGTCCATTTTTATCACGCAAGTATTTCCTTTATCTGCTCCCGAGGACTGTCCGTTTGCTCTTTCTCGAAGGTTGCTGCTGCAACGAATGCGCTTGTTGGATTGATGATCGAAGTTCACTCTCTCCGGCATGCCGAGTAACGTCATATCATTGTACCTAGATCCTAGCACAGGGGAAGGAGTACGCTCGGAGGACGATGGTAAGGAAGATGGTGTAACACGTTGCGGCAAAGTTGTGAGTGCATCGCCTCGAACGGCCGTGGTCAAACTACTTGTATGTGACACAACGGAAATAGGCAGATCCAAACTGAACCCTTCAGCATCGGAGTCGTCGGAATCTTCATCGTCTTTGTTCGTGATTTTCCGGCTTAGCATGCGAAATCGGTTCACGGGATGGCGTAAATCTTCATCGTCATCCATATCCGCTTGACCATTCTTGCTGTGGACATTGAAGGCTGCAAATTTTGTATCCATTCTCTAATTTGCCTTCGTAAAATACAAGTAGTGTTTTTACATTCGAATTTAGAATACGGAGAATGGTTAGCTGATGAGGAGGGAGTAACCGGCGATTATTGGAAAGCTTCCTTAATAAAAAACAACAATAATCAGGAATAGTCTCAAAGCGTATGTGAACAGATGCAGGATATTGGACAAACAAAAATATTTTGTATAATACAGTGAGAGGTCGTGCGTCAAGATTGGGAAGTCGGAGTAGGAAGCGAGGGGGAGGAAGCGAGGGGATGAGGAGGAGAGGGGGAGGAGGTTGAAGATTGAAGCGGAAATTTGAATTTCAAATTTGTGAGCGAGCCAGTCCCCCCCAGTCGAGTGCGGGGGACCAAGTCCTCGTCTCCCTTCCTGTGAGGAAATTCTGCCCAGCCGGGTCTTTCTGCCTGGTATTGAAGCAAGATTTCCAATTTGGGCCCTTTTTGGTCTGGTGAGCATGTCTTTTTCTGAGGTCATGTCGGCAATGTTGTGCAAATGCCTCGTAGCGGTTTCAAACCTACATGCTGAGCGTAGCTAACCTGGCCTATTTGACACGAAATAAAAATCCTATGCAAATGTGAATGTAATTGACATCATCCGTTCGTTTTATAACTCGTTGTTGATAGGTCCATTTTATTCAAAAATGGTGATGGACCTCGATCCTCCCATGCGGCTCGTCCCCCAGCCTTGCGTTTCGCCTGTTCGGAATGTCGCCGTGGATGTCACCACGAAATCAAAAAGCAAGACGACATGGCCAGCTGAAAATAAAAAAATAGAGTCAAGTGATAGCGTCGAGAAGGCTCATGGGTCCCCACGGAAGGAGGACCCCATCATGGGAGGCATAAGGTAACGTCGCTTGGGAACCCGACCATTCGCTCCTTGTCCACAAATGCGCATTTAATTCGAAGAAATTTAAAGGCATATTTTACTATGTCGTATCATTTCCATAGAGTGGCTTGACTGTATTCAACTTCCTTCTCTATATTCCAAATCCTTCAGCAACACAGCGGACAGTACCTCTGGGAGGCGACAATGGAAGAAACTATTGTGGGAATTTTGCATCGGCGGCATGTGGAAAAATCCGCCCTCTACGGCTCACTTTGACGGCTTGCGAGGAGTGGCCTGTTTGACGGTGCTAGTCTGGCATTTTCTGTGCGCGTATTACCCAGGCATCGCCTTTCACAACAAAGCTTTTGTGCAGGACGGCGCATACTCGGTCAAATGGGGCCGATCTTGGCTGCTATTCTTCTTTAATGGGCCCTTCTCCGTCGACGTCTTCTATGGCCTGAGCGGACGCGTCCTCCTCCACTCGTACATGGCCCACGGGAAGAACAGTACGCTCGTCAGTGCTATGTTTCGGCGGATCCTACGATTAATGGTGCCCTTCGCCGTCATCGTTATCTTCGCTTGGAAAGAAGGCCAGCTAGGCTGGGTGCAGTACGGCGTCCAGGCAGCCGCCTGGACTCGATCGCATTGGCTTCCCAGCCCCACTTTGGGGGCAACCGTGGGCTCCTTGCGTTGGATAGACATAAAGAACTTCATCACCCTCATGTTCACCGAAAGCAACCTGGCCTACTATATCTACAACCCGCGTACGTGAACGATATCACACATGCTGTCTCGATGCTTTTCATGTTTACCATTTCTTGTCACACGTCCCATTACATGTCAGGAAATTTGTGGACGATTCGAACAGAATGGCGGGGTTCCCTGGCCGTTTTCTCCCTCGGTTTCGTCATGAAAAACCTGCAAAGCCGTTTTCGCTGGGTCCTTTACCCAATCCTCTTCCGCTGGTTCGAGGTTGAAAATGGGGGGGCCCTCCTTGCGTTTATCGTCGGTTTTTTCCTCTGTGATGTAGAACGAAACACACCCGTCGTCACCTACCTGACCTCCTCTCCCACCGTGCTGGCCCAAACCCTCCGGGTCACTCTCGCGCTGGTGAGTGCGGGGATTTGGATCCATGTCCAGAGTACCTTGGGCTTTCAGGCGCAAGTGAGCCTGCCGCCCGGCGATGCCGATGCGTTGCTGAATTTTCGGCGTTGGACGGCGCTGGGAACTTGTGGTTGTCTCGTCTTCGTCCAGCTGACCCCGCTGATGCGGTGGCTCCTGGCCACGCCCCCCCTCCGTTTCGTGGGCTACGTCTCCTTTTGCCTGTACCTGGTCCACGGAGAGGTCCTGAATACCTTCGCTGCCTGGCTATTTTTGCGCCTCTATCAGGAGGGTCAGGGCTTAGGGTACGTCCCTAGTTCCCTGGTGGTGCTCGCAACGGCTTTTCCCGTGTCATTGGTGCTGGCTTGGGTCATGACCGTCTTGGTGGATGATCCGAGCGTGCGGCTCGCCCGCGCTGTCTACCAAAATTTCTTTTGTGCTTTCGACGAGAAGCTGTGGGTGCATCGACAATTGAAAGCTGGAGAGATGAAAGTGCGCGGTTGGTGTAGTAGCATGCTGGCTTCCCCTACCCTGGGCCCCTTGATGCACCTTTTCCTTTTCACTGAAGTCCCAAACCTATTTCGTCGACCGAACAGCAAGAAAATAAGCCTGCAAGAGACGGAGATTGAGTTATACACCGGGAGGGAGGCTCACAAACTATGAGAACACACGAAAGTAAGCGGACAGATGTAGAAAACAGCGAGCAACGTCATGTACACAGTGGATTGTATTTTGCTCACGTCGGAAAAGGTACTTTTATTTATGCTTTTTGGAATATCGGAATATCGTGCCTGAACATCGCCATAAGCTCACCTGTGGATAATCCCGCAGGCCTTCATATCAACAATTTGTAGCGTGCCTGTGCCACTCTTTTTATACAAAATCGCTTCCGTCTCTGTCCCCCCTCAACTTCAACTTTGGCTCACACGCAACGGCAGAGCCTCATCCTCCTCGGTCATGTCTGCCACATCCAGAACAAAGAGATCGATCCACGACACCCTCTCGATGCGTCCCTGTTCGTCGAAGCTCAAGGGGAACCAATACTGCGGCTCGTGCCCTTTCAGCCCGTCCGGGGACTGCATCCACCTGTCCCCTGTCCACACATACTCCGTTTCTCCCCCAGACGTCTGCACCTCTATTACGAAATTCTGTTGAGCGCGCGTCGTGGATATTTGGTCCGTGCCGTAGAATAAGCAACCTTGCTCTGGAGTGGGAATGGGCCCGTCATTGTCGGCGCGGGTGTGAGCAGTCGCGGCAAAGGTGCCTTTGGAAGCACAGGCAATGTCGTCCCCTTGAAAAGTGTAGGGACCGAGGGGGGAAGTGGCAGTGTAGACACGAATGCCAGATCCCTGATAACAGAAGCAGCACATGGGCCCGAACAGGATGTAGTAGATGCCCTTGCGTTTGAACATGACGGGCGCCTCGAAGCCCCACTCGGATCCGTTCCCTCGGAATCCATCAAACGCGCGCCCCGAGACCCCCAAGAAATCGGGCGTCAATTCTTCTATGGTAATCCAAAAGTCCGCGGAATATAGTACGTAGCCTGTCCCGTCGTCATCGACAAAGAGATGAAAATCACCGGCAGGAAGGTGCGCAATATTGACCTGGGCCCGACGCTGTTCAAAGGGTCCCTGTGGCTTTGAGGAGGTAGCCACTGCAAAACCTGCGTACGTGCCATTAGGATAGACATAATTCCACCACAAAATGTACTCGTGAGTGGTGGGGTTGAAGACAGCGGAAGGCCGGAACAAGGTGCCCGCGGGCCGTTCTGTCCAAGGGAAGGCGTATCCTTGGAACGCCCAGGAGCCACAACTCAAGTCCCAACTCGTGTACACACTGAGATTGTGGTCCAAGCGAAAGCCACACCGGTCAGGGGAGTCGCAACCTGTGATGTTTGGTGCCTGAAAACGACGTCCGTGCACGCGGGCGGTGTCAATAATTGAGAGGGGGGTTCCTACCCAAACCTCCCGTATTGCCACTCCTCAAGAACTCCTCCACAACTCTCACCTGACAAAGGCCGTACTCTACGGCATGCATATAATACGGCCCATCTTTATGAAAGCGTTGAATGGTTCCATCATGAGCGTCCAAGATTCGACCCTCGGTGTCGAAGGCAGGCTTTGTGTTGTCAAAAAGGACGAACTTTGCTGTGGCCGTAGGCAGAGGCAGCAACAAGCTGAGAATACATCCTCCGACTGAAAAAAAGTATCCCATGACGTGTCCACTAAACAGATTTGAACCTTGTATGTTTGTGTGTTGTATTCATATTGTGCCAAACTGTTACCATCTATATCCAGGTCGCAGGCAGGCAACAGCAACAAGACGCGAGCACCTGAAGCACAGCCAAGTGCTCCATTACAGTACTGCTTTTACGGTTTAATTAACAAAGAGACGCTCGTTTCTTTGTCACCAAACGCCATCTTGAGGCAATAAAAATTGTTCCAGTCCTACGTCAATTTCCTTTGTCGAACGCAACTCATGCCGTGAAGAAAATGCTCACATGCGTAGGGCAGTATCACGTTAGCGCCGTCTGTCGCTGCTTTCGCTTCAAGCGCTCATACCTTTTCCCAAAAATGGCAGTGCGTCCAAGCACGACGGACATATGAGATAACGAATGATGGCCGCAATTTTGGTCAACCCGACTATGAATCATGCAGAGCACTACTGAAAGGAACCTTTCCCTCTGCCCCCGCCGTCATATCCACGTTTCGGACAATTGGCCATGGATTTCTCCAGCGTGAAGGCGGATCGTAAAGCTGAACAAATATGAAGTACAGCACGGAAGAAAACATGTGATATGCCTTGCGGCAAATCAATGCCACTTGCTCTTTACTTTTAGATCATTTTGTTTATTTATGCTAGTTGCCGCAAACGCTGTACTATTCGCGTGTCTTCAGGACGGACAAAGGTAGTTCAGAAGTACTTTGTTCAGGCCTTCATATACGGGTGCATAGAAGTGAAGCCCGTCCCAGAACAAATGTGTGCTTTGTGTGCTCACCAGTTGGTTGTCGAGGGCCGCGACAGGATATGTGATAGCCCCTGCATCCAGAATGCTGATACCTTGGCGTTGAAA